AAATGTCAAAAAAGGACACAGGAGCCAGCCTGAAGGGGCTCCCACGGGCCAATATGGGTTATTTATTTATTTATTCATTAGAGACAGGGTCTTGCTTTGTCACCCAGTGGCTTGATCATAGCTCACTATAACCCTGACTTCCTGGGCTCAAGTGATTTTCCCACCTCAGCCTCCCAAGTAGGTGGGAATACAGGCACCCACCATATTCAGCTAATTTTTAAATTTTTTTGTAAAAATGGGGCCTTCCTATGCTGTCCAGGCTGAAATCTGGGATAATTTAAGGATAAAAATAAATAATGATAGTTAAAGATTACAAAAAAGCAAAAAGAAAATTACAACCCACTGATTAAAAGAAGAATCCATGGGTCCATACTGACATAAATGAGTAAATGATGGAGAAGAGAAAGTTCTCACAGTAGAATGTCAACTAGCAAGAATGATGGAAAGAAGATAGAAATTTAAAAATAATTTTTTTGCAACCATCATAGTAATAATCCATTCAAGAGACACAGATGTGAAAGCTTGATGAGAAATATGTTTACATAGTCCCAAAGTATTCTCCCCACACGATACTTATTAATTACAAAGGTGAAAACATTAATCTTGCAGACACCACCAAAATCAAGTGACTAAAGTTAACAATATCATGTACCTTCTGATGTGATGTACTGAAAAGGTTGTAACATCACTTTTGTATATATCCTATCTAATCATGAGATGCATTAGGCAAAAATTGAGGGACAGTCTAGGAATTATTCTTAAAAAATGCCATCGTCATGAAAGTCAAAGTCAGAGTGAGAACTCTTCCAGTGTAAAGTAGATTAAATAGATTTGAAAACTAAATGCAATGTGTAATCCTGGTTTGGATCCTAGACCAACAGCAACGGAAAAAAAAAAAAACCCTAATAAAGAACATTTTGGGACAATTGTCAAAATTTGAGTAGATTAGGCAATAATGTACCAGTATTAATTTCCTGCTTTTGATAATTTACTCTGGTTATGTAAGAGATTGACATCGTTTTTAGGAAATATACGCTGAATACACACATATTTAGAGGTAAAGGGGTATCATGTCTGCAACTCACAAATGAGTCAAGATAAATAAATAGGAAGGGTGGAGGAGACAATGATACATATATGTAGTGAAATATTAGCTAGTAATTTGTGTGAAGGGGGCTATTTGAATTATTCTTGCAACCTTTTTTAAAGTCAAATTGTTTCAAAATTAAAAATCAAATAAAATTTTTAAAACATTTTCATAGAGAGGTGTTTAAGTTTTAAAATAATAACATCGAAAGCAAGGAAAAACAACAAAGAGATCAAAACAACTGGGGAAAGACTGATTTAATCAAACATAGGCTCAAACATAAGACGAACAATAAAAAATAGAGACAATTGGTGTTCCTCAAGGGAATTGGAACTGTGATAACTACTCAATGATAAAAAGATGGAACTAGAGGAAGTTACATGAAGGCAGATTTCATTCGAATAGAAGATAGAACTTTCTGACAAGCAGTGTGCTAAGACATTAAATGCTTTTAAGTAATGAGCAATTTGGAAGCAGCCCTATTGCTGGAAGCATTCAGGCAAGGGCTAGGTAACCATCTACATGCCTTGGGAAGTATTCCTCATTGATTGGGAAGTTGAACTTTATGGTATCTAAAGCTTTTTCTGACTCTAGCATTTGTACCTGGAATATATCTCCCACTGATGGTGTTAGTTCTGAAGTATAAGCATATCCTGAGGAACTCAGAAGAAACCTTGTAGAGTGAGGTAAAACATGTTAAGAGAAAAGTGCCCTCCAACTACACGTTTCTCAAACATGGCTTAAGTTGTACTTAGGTTGTCACTTCGGTTGAACTTGGTAGGATTTTTCTGTGTCATTTCTAACTTCACTATTAAATTAAGGATACTATTTAACTAGTGATGACTTTTTCAAGTACTGCATCTCAAATTTTAATGTACATATGAACAACTTGGGAATCTTTTTAAAATGCACACTTGCATTCTGATTTTGATTTGGTAGCCAAAACTATAAAACTTACAGAATAAAACAGGTGAAAATCATAGTGATATTGGCAAAGTTTTCTTGGGTTTGGAAAAGATTTAATACTACACAAAATATAAAAGAAAAAAGCAATAAATTGGATTTCATTAAAAACTTTAGAGTCCTGATGGCTGAAAAAAATAAAATGAAAAACTTTTGCTCTTCAAAAGACACAATTAAGAAAATGAAAAGGCAAGCCACAATAAAAGAAAGGATTGAAAAGGGCCATAAGGAAACTTTTGATGCTGATAAATATATCCATTAACTTGATTTTGATGGTGGTTTTATGGATATATATGTCAAAACTTATGAAAACTTTAAATATGTAGTTTACGTTAATACACTATAAAAAGTGAAGTTTCTGATTCTGTAGGTTTGGGGTGGGACCAAGAGTCTGCATTTCTGACAAGCCCATAGGTGACAGTGATGCTGCGGTTTCCACACCAGTGGAAAAAGTGACAAAGCTCTTGAGTCTCCTTTTACAGTTTTTTAAAATTAATACATAATAGATGTACATATTTTGGGGGGATGTGATATTTTGATACATTCATATGTGTAAAATCGAATCAGGGTAATTGGAATGTCCATCATCTTTAACATTTCTTTATGCTGGGAACATATGAATTATTCCCTATTAGCTATATTGAAATATACAATATATTGTTTACTATAGTCACTCTGATTTATCAAACACTAGGTCTTATTTCTTCTATCTAACTGTATTTTTGTACCCAGTAATCAACCTCTCTTCATCCCTTCCTCCCCTCTACCCATCCCAGCCTCTGGTAACCACCCATCTACTCTCCATCTTCTTAAGATCCACTTTCTTAGCTCCCACATGAGTGAGAATGTGAGATATTTGTGCACCTGGCTTATTTCACTTAACATAATGACTTCCAGTTCCATCCATGTTTCTTCAAACGACAGGATTTCATTCTTTTTTTTATGGCTGAATATTTCATTGTGTCTATGTACCACATTTTCTTTATCCATTAATTCATTGTTGGGCAGGCACTTAGGTTGATTCCATATTTTGGCTATTGTGAATAGTGCTGCAATAAACATTAAGGCAGATATCTCTTCGACATATTGATTTCCTTTCTTTTGGATATATCCGGCAGTGGGATTGCCCAATTATGTGGTAGTTTTATTTTTAGTTTTTTGAGGAACCTCCATACAGTTTTCCATAGTGGCCATAATTTACATTCTTTTTTTTTTTTTTTTTGAGACAGAGTCTCACTGTGTTGCCCGGGCTAGAGTGCCGTGGCGTCAGCCTAGCTCACAGCAACCTCAAACTCCTGGGCTCAAGCAATCCTCCTGCCTCAGCCTCCCGAGTAGCTGGGACTACAGGCATGTGCCACCATGCCCGGCTAATTTTTTCTATATATTTTTAGTTGTCCAATTAATTTCTTTCCAATTTTAGTAGAGACGAGGTCTTGCTCTTGCTCAGGCTGGTCTCGAACTCCTGAGCTCAAACAATCCGCCCGCCTCGGCCTCCCAGAGTGCTAGGATTACAGGCGTGAGCCACCGGGCCCGGCCATAATTTACATTCTTGCTAGCAGCGGCACAAGGGTTCCCCTTTCTCCATATCCCTTCAGCATCCGTTATTGCCTGTCTTTTTGATAAAAGCCATATTAACCAGAGTGAGATGCTATTGCATAGTGGTTTTGATTTGCATTTCTGTCAATGTTGAGCATTTTTACATACTTATTGGCCATTTGCATGTCTTTTTCGAGAAATGTCTATTGAGATCTTTCAGTCTCTTTTGTTACATGTCATTTGAGTACACAACAGCTGCATTGGACCGGTATCTCTTTGGATAGTGTAGACAGAACATTTCTATTGAAGAAAGTTCTATTGGATGTCAGAAGTCAAGATTCTTCAGTACATTGGTAACTACTAATCTTGTCAGATCTGACTGTTGTTATCCCCCAGCCATGACCTTTGTTCATTCCACTCTGACTGAATGTGCTCCCCTTCATAAAGCTTTGCTCTGATCCCATTCCAAATTCTTATAGTATATTGCTTACATTTCTTTTTATCACGTTCGTTCTGACTCACATTAGAGTTGGAATAAAGTTGAAAGAATAGGAAGCTAAACCTCACATTCTAACACAACTTCCTCATCATCCTGGGTATTCATTTTTCATGGCTCCTGAGGCTGTACTCAGCATTGTGCACCAGCCCCAGTAATTTCCAGTGTGGCTTCTGCACTACCAAGAGGTGTGACCTGAGGTAAATCAGAACTTCCACAGGAATGAATTCTCATCTCTAAAATGAGGGGATTGAACTATTTTATTATTTCCTGTTTCTCACATTCCATATGCTTCTGCTTCAGAGTAAAGATGGCATGGAGCCAGAAAGAACTTTAACCTCTTGGAAAGCCATATGGCTCTGGAACAGGAGTGGGTTAGACTATATGTCCAGAGTCATTAAAAAGTTTCAGTTAGTACCAACCTTTGTATAATTTATACAAGAGGGATCAGCAAACTTTTCTGTAAAGGGCCAGATACTAAATATTTTTGGCTTTGCGGGCCATATAGTCTGTTGCCTACACTCAACTCTGCCTTTGCAGTATGAAAGCAGTCACAGACAATGTGTAAATGACGAGGTGTGGCTGGATTTGGCCCACATAGCACAGGGTGAGAGCATCTCTAATCTGAAGTACGCCAAAATCTGAAACTTTTTCAGTGCTGATAGACACAAGAGGAAAATTCCACACTTGACCCCATAATGGGTTGTAGTCAAAATTTTATTCTGAAAAAACAAAACAACAATCAAATCCAAAACATTTCTGTTCCCAAGTTATTTAACTTGTAGCTGCTAACTTCTGGTTTAGATTGTACTACCTATCTTCTAACCGTGTGAAGTTAGTAAGAAACGAGGGAAAAAAACACACTTTACTGATTCAATTTTATTAACTATGGATACAAAGATAATCAACATTTTATCTTCATTCATCAGAAGCCTTAAGTAGAGCAGCTTTCTTCTTATACTTATCTGCAATCTCTCTAATATTTTCCAAGAGATCTTCTGACTTGCATTCTTCATACTCTCTGTCAACTTTAGCCTCCTGCTCCTCAAGATGTTTCTAGTGACAACAATTAGCAATTGTTAATGAAAAACATTAATTTCTTTTAAAGTTCTTTTTTTTTTTTTTTGAGACAGAGTCTCACTGTGTTGCCCGGGCTAGAGTGCCATGGCGTCAGCCTAGCTCACAGCAACCTCAAACTCCTGGGCTCAAGTGATCCTTCTGCCTCAGCCTCCCGAGTAGCTGGGACTACAGGCATGCACCACCATACCCGGCTAATTTTTTCTATATATTTTTAGTTGTCCAATTAATTTCTTTCCATTTTTAGTAGAGACGGGGTCTTGCTCTTGCTCAGGCTGGTCTCGAACTCCTGAGCTCAAACGATCCTCCTGCCTCGGCCTTCCAGAGTGCTAGGATTACAGGCGTGAGCCAATTATAGCTTTATAATAATTTCTGGCGTGCCTAAATAGACAAAAAGAAAAAGTGATTTTGTGTCCCTCAGGGAAGCAAGAGTCCAGAATAGGAGTTCGCAAACTTTTTCTGTAAAGGACCAAATAGTATAGTAACTATTTTAGTCTTGGCAGTCCAGATGGTTTTCTTCACAACTGCTCATCCTTAACACTGTGGTATGAAAGCAGCCATAGATAGTACTGAAACGAATGAGTTGGCTGTGTTCCAATAAAACTTTATTTACAAAGCAGGCCGTGGACCCAATTTGGCCCACAGGCTGTAGTTTACTGGCTCCTGGTCTAGAACATCAAGCCACATATGTAAGACCTGTATGGTACTGGGAATTGCTTAAATAAGCACTTTGTCCCATAAGAAAAATATACTATGTAAAGATACCATTAGATCTAAACTCTTGTTTTCTTTAGTCCAACTTCATTACTTGTTGTAAAATTTCTTCGTATTAGGTTTGACTTTCTGTGTTTCCTCTACACTTTATTAGGTAAGCTATTAAACTTTTTTTTTACTGGCTAATCATCAATTTTGTATAGTACAAAGTGATCAGTAAATATTTATTAAACTTGGTCTGATCTTCTGAAACACTGAACTGCA